TTTCTCGCTGAAACCACCTCCATCCCTCCATCCACCTTCTCTTGAACCCTCCATCCATCTCTTTTCTTGCTGAACCATCCATCCCCTCCATCTTATTACGAATCCATAAACCCTCTTCTTCTCTACTGAATCCCTCCACCATCCCCTCTTTTTCTCTGAACCATCCCTCCTCCTTCTTTCTTATGAACCTCCATTTTCCTTTCTCGTGAATCCATCATCATCCTCTCTTTTTCTGCGATCCATCTACCCTCTTTTCAGTGAATCCCTCATCCACCCCCTCTTTTTCGCTGCATCCCAAAACCATCATCCCCTCTTTCTCTATGAATCCATCATCCCCTCTTTTGCTGAACACCCATCCTCTCTTTCCTGCTGAATCACCCCTCCCCCTTCTTTTTCTGCTGAATATCATCTCTCTTTTTCTTTTGAATCCCCATCTCTCTTTCTGTGAACCATCCATCCATCCTCTCTTTTTCTACTGAACCCTCCCTCCTCTTTTCTTGTGAAACCCTCCTTTCATCCTCCCTTTCATTTCTGAAAACCTCCCTCCCCCTCCCCTTTACTACTGAATCCATCCCTCCCTCCCTCTTTATTAGAATCCACCCCCTCTCTTTCTCTACTGAACCACACCCTCCCCTCCTCTTTTCATACGAATCCATCCATCCATCCTCTTTTCTCTACTGAATCCATCCCCCATCCTTTTCACTCTGAATCCATCCATCCCTTTTTTCTTACGAATCCATCATCCTCCCTCTCTACTGAATCCCTCCATCCCTTTTCCTTTCTGAACCCTCCATTATCCTCTCTTTTTTACGAACCATCCATCTTCTTTTCGTGAATCCATCCCCTCCCCCTTTCCTTACTGAATCCCTCCATCCTTCTTTTCACGAAAACCCTTCCCTCCATCCATCCATCCACTTTTCTTATGAATCCATCCACCCCCTTCCCTTTTTCTACGAATATCCATCTCTCTTCTCTATGATCCATCCATTCTCTTTCTCTAGAAACATCCACCCTCCCTCTTTTCCCATGAATCCAACCATCCTCTCTTTCTCACTGAAAACCTCCACCTTCTTTTCTTGCTGAATCCCTCCATCCATCCATCCACCTTTTTCTATGAATCCATCCATCCCCTCCTCTCTTTCTGCTGAAACCACCACCTCCCCCTTTTCTACTGAACCATCCCTCCCATCCTCTCTTTCTTACTGAAACCCTCCATCCACCACTCTTTTTTTACTGAATCCATCCCCCCATCCCTTTTTTCTCTACTGAACCACATCCTCTCTTTTTCTGCTGAATCCATCCATCACCCCTTTTCTTGCTGAATCCATTACCTCTCTTTTTCAGCTAACCATCCATCCCCCTCCTTTTTCGGAATCCATCCCTCACCACCCTTTTCTACGAATCCACCATCCTTTTTTTACGAATCATCCATCCATCCCCTCTTTCATTTTGAATCCACCACCCTCTTTTTCGCTAAAACCACCCATCCCTTTTTTTCTCTGCGAATCCCCCCATCCATCCTCTCTTTCTCTGTGAAAATCCACCTTTTTCTCTGTGAATCCATCCATCCCTCTTTCTCTGCTGGGGAAACCATCCATCCATCCTCTCTTTTTATGAATCCCTCCCCTCTCTTTTTTGCTGAAACCATCCTTCATCCTCTCTTTTATACTGAATCCCCCATCCATCCCTCTCTTTCACTACGAATCCTCCTCCATCTCTCTTCTTACTGAATCCATCCCCCCTCTCTTTCTCTACTGAATCCATCCATCCACCATCCCCCTTTCACTATGAACCATCCTCCATCCTTTTCTTACTAATCCATCCCCCCAAATTTTTTTATATGAAACCACCTCCCATCCCCTTTTTTCATACTGAATCATCCATCCATCCTCTCTTTTCTCTGAATCCATCCACCTCTCTTTCTCTAGAATCCACCATCCTCCTTTTTTTACTGAATCCCTCCATCATCCATCCCCTCTTTCATATGAACCATCCATCCTCCTTCCTTTTTTCTATGAATCCACCACCCTTTTCTGCGAATCCATCCATCCAATCCTCCTTTTAACGAACCATCCATCCCTCCATCCCTCTTTTACTACTGAATCTTCCATCCATCCCTCTTTCATAGAATCACCACCCCTCCTCTTTCTACTGAATCATCCCTCCCCCTCTTTTTTCCCGTAATCATCCATCCATCCATCCTCTCTTTCATATGAACATTTCCTCTTTTCCTCCTCTTTCTTGCTGAAAAACCCTCCCTCCCTCCATCCCTCCTCCACCATCCATCCTAAAACCATCCATCCCTCCATCCTCTTTCAATAAATCCATCACCTTCTTTTCTCGGGTGAACCATCCATTCTCTTTCTTTGCTGAAACCATCCCTCCTCCTTTCCACTGAACCATCCATCCCCCACTCTTTTTCTGCTGAACCATCTATCCCTCTTTCTTAGAATCCATCACCATCCTTCTTTCTGCGAAACCACCATCCATCCCATCCATCTTTTTTGGAAACCCCTTATCCTCCTTTTTCTACTGAATTCCATCCACCATCCTTCTTTCCGCTAATCCCTCACCACATCCATCTTTTTGCTGAATCCATCTATCCTTTTTCTCTTTCTGAAAACCCCCATCCATCCTTCTTTCTTGCTGAAACCATCCACCCTCCATCCCTTTTCTTGCTGAATCCCTCTACCTCTTTTCCTACGAATCCCCCATCCATCCCCCTTTCTTGAATACATCCATCCATCCATCCATCTTTCTCTGCTGAATCCATCTATCCTCTCTTTCTTACTGAATCCATCCATCCATCCTCTCCCCTTTTGCTGAATCCAATCCATCCATCCCCTCTTTTCTAATGATCCATCCATCCTCTTGTTTAAAATTGCTACAGTGATATCTATTCTGTCCTGCTGTACTATACTGTAGGGGTTTTATAATCTACCCCTTACACTTACTGTATACTGGAAAGTACTGTTAGCAAACATCAAATGTGCTGTTAAGTGTCAAAATCTAAATCTATGCTTGTGGGTGAAATGATAGATAACATCTTCATTGCCTTCTTATTTTTTTAGTAAGAGTCCACTTTATGAGAAATATGCACTACAGAATTCTGGAAACAAATCATAAAAAAGAGAGACATCTTAAGCCAGGTGTACACTACACGATTTAGCTTCCCAGACAAGTTTTTTGAGATCGGAGTTTAAAATCCCCATGTCCGTTGCCTACTCGGAGCACGCAGCCATCACAGACGCTCGTTTAATATGAGCGGGTCAGAGAGACGCAATCTGATGGGTTACAGATTCCGTCTTTGAGCCGTCCCAGACATCCCATATATTTTCAAACGTGTTTGATTTTATCAGCAGAAAATCTGCAACGCTCTTGTAGTGTGAGATGTGCAATGACATGTTTTGAGAACGGTGATCAGCAATAGCCAATGAGAGCTCGCCAGAGAAGAAACCAGTGAGATGATGACGTTGTATCGCATCACCCAGAATGTGTAGACTCTGGAGCAGGAGCCATGACGACTACTTGCTAGCCAGTATGCATTTGTACTTACCTTAAAAGCAAAAGTGTCCAATTGTTATAGCTCTGAGGTTCACAAGCAATGCTATTTGATATTTCAACTCTGTATAGCAAGCGTGAACGACTGACTGACCGCAAAAGTTTATGAGGCTGCTTTGAGCCACAGCTCGTTCTAGCTACGTTAACAAGCTCATCACATCATCACACCATTCTGTGCCACATCGTTTAGTGTGCGCACCACTACGTTGACAACACAAAAAAAAAACGACAGGAAAGACGGTTGTTTAATGCGAGAGGCTCAGCGATTTTAGGATTTTTGAAAGTGGTGTAGTGTACACCTGGTTTTAGAGACACAGAGAACGCACATCCCTAGTCCCAAGCTATGACCTGAAAGCTGAGGTTGCGCTATAATGCATGCACTACAGTAACATCAACCCAATTGGTCATGGGAGCAGGAACAATCTGTCATGTAATCATTTACTGTATATAAGATGGACAGGGTAGACGTGCATCAGGGCCGCGAGGAGGACCTTGCTAACGAGGACAAACTCAGTCAGTTTATTATCCTTATGGTCATATTTCAAAGGATTATTTTCCATTGAAAGTACGGCTAGGTCCCTGAATTACATCACTAACATTTTTTTTTTTCTCCCAAAATTGGGTAACTTCGTTTAGCGCGAAGGGTTGTTAGTGCAGTACACGATACAATGACAAACATATCAGTGGATTTACTTAACCCTTTCTTCACATTATTCAGCCTGTTCATTATGTGCACTATTCTGACCAACTGTTGCTTCATGGCCATGTCGGACCCTGCCCCTTGGACCAAGTACCTGGAGTAAGTAATACGTGTACACTTCATCCCTCCTTAGTGCACTTCTTTTGATCATGAGTACACTGTTCTCCTGTGATAGGTACTTCCTCTGTCCCCTTTTTGTCCCGATATTGAGCCAAGGTGTGTTGCTACAGTAACAGTAACATTGTGTGAACCCTGATCGGTGAGTTACACTATTTGAAATGTAAGTAGCCTACGTAAAGCATGTGACACGGTCGGCTCACTCACTGCACTTGGAATGCCACATGAGAATGAAAACTTGGCATGGTACAGTAATGCTCCACTCTTCGCCCAACGCTTTTCATCAGGTTTTGCTTAAATATCTTTTAGAATTGGAATGTGATGAATGCTAAACTTCCAGTTCCGTTACTGAATGTTTATACCTAAGGTAAAACTAGCCTCTGAAACAAGGTATTCTGGAAATGTATGACATGACAAACTCACCCTGCTAGTTAACAATGCATTGATTGTATACCTTATTTGTTACATTCCACTATTTTGGCATTACATTTTCTTTCAACGGTTGATTGAGAGCATGCTAAATGAGTTGAAACACTATCACTTTATTCCTAATGATCTCTCTTCATTCCATCCACTGCTATTGCCTAATACTGTGTTGTTTGAATCCATTAAAAACGTTCAGGTACACGTTCACCGGTATCTACACCTTCGAGTCCATGATAAAGATATTTGCGAGAGGATTCTGTGTCGGACCATTCACCTTCCTGAGAGACCCATGGAACTGGCTGGATTTTAGTGTAATCTCCATGGCGTGAGTACCACCCCTTTATGTCTGATATTTCACCTCCTTCACCACTAGCCATCTCCTGTTCAATTGCTAGGTATTTGTCATCCAGGGGCTTTTGATACGTCCCGAAAAGAGAGATAAATAAATGTCCTTTAGGTGCATGGCATGTGGATTTAATATTCATTATTAAATGAAAACATCACTTGACTTTGGGACTTACCGGTGACCTAATGGATTGCATTGTGAATTGACTTCTGAGAGTGAACTAAACGATGTCAGAGAGGATAATGGTGGGAGGATGGTCTAATGGGTAGAGACCTGTCCATGGTGATACGGAGAGCTAGAGAGCCAGGAGAATACAGCTATAGAGGATACAGCTATAGAGGATACAGCTAGAGGGGATACAGCTAGAGGGGATACAGCTATAGAGGATACAGCTATAGGGGATACAGCTAGAGGGGATACAGCTATAGAGGATACAGCTATAAGGGATACAGCTAGAGGGGATACAGCTAGAGGGGATACAGCGAGAGGGGATACAGCGAGAGGGGATACAGCAAGAGGGGATACAGCAAGAGGGGATACAGCGAGAGAGAGAGAGAGAGAGAGAGAGAGAGAGAGAGAGAGAGAGATAGCAGAGAGAGAGAGAGATAGAGAGTGAAAGAGAGAGGGGAAGATATATATATATATATATATATATATATATATATATATAGAGAGAGAGAGAGAGAGAGAGAGAGAGAGAGAGAGAGAGACGAAACATGACTCTAGAGAGTTGAGAGATCCAGAGAGTGTCTCCAACGGCAACAGTCCCTAGGGAACCATTACTATGGGAGTTTTAAGCACCTTTATCCCCACATGCAATATCACATCCCATCATATGATACACACATAATGTCAAATTGATATGACAATAACAAGATCCTATACAGGGAAGGTTGTGAGATTACATCTGACTTCTCCTCCATTGCTTATACATCCGGAACATGTTAGGACCTGATGGGGTAATGAAACAACTCTTTCAGTACACTGGACCAGGACAGGACACCATAAGGCTGCTGAACCGTTTAGGGCTTTAGACTATATATAGTAGAGAGAGAGAGAGAGAGAGAGAGAGAGAGGACACAGCTAGGGCCATGTTCACTAAGCCTCTGCTTGTCACGGACAGAAGAGGACCCAAGAGCGCAAGTTCAAATTCAGAGTTCTTTATTGAAGGTTTCAGGCGGGAAGAGGAGTGCCAGGGGTGTCAGGGGTTCCAGGGGTGCTTGGGGCTCTGGGGTCTTTCAGGGTCCTGTGGGTACCTGTGCTCCGGGGGTCACCAAATGTCCGGGGGTGTCCAGTCCAAGTGCTTAGTGTGTGTGTTCCCCAGTGATGGAGCGGCGTATCGGGCTGAGGGTGGTGAAGCGTCTGGGCACGCTCATCTGGTGGTCGGAGACCTGGGGGAACACACACACAACAGCAATATGAATGGCAGGCAGAAGTACAGATCAGGGCTGGGCAAATATCGTGGTGAGAGACAGAAAGCAGAATCGAGTTACCGGAGGGGCTGAAGATCGGAGAGTAGTCGAGGTCCAGAAGGCAGGTCGGGATAGACGGGGCAGTAGAACAAGGAGGCAGTCAAGAAAGGATCGGTATCACAAACAGGAGTCAGAGCGCAGACAGGCAGGTTACTGGTCCGGGTTTGAAGACGATCTGACAGGGCTTGGCTGAAAAACAGGGCTTGATATACTGGGAGAGGTTAGTGGGGAAATGCAGTTCAGCTGGCAGAGTAATTAGAACAGAGTGAGGCAAGGTGAGGATGGTGAGTGGGAAATGCAGTGCAGCTGGCCAGGTAACAAGAGCAGAGCAGGGCGGAGCCAGGTGGAGCTCGTTAGGCAGAGTAGGGAGAGAGTGAGCAGAGTGGCAGAGAATTGAATGCAATTAATGTTGCTACCAGGGAGAGAGAGTGCTCATGACAGGACCCCCCCTCCAAGGGACGGCCCCAGAAGTCCCAAGAACAACATCATGCCGGGAGGGTGGAGGGGAGCAGGCGGCGGGTCAGAACTCCTCCGAGCGGTCCGAGTGAATCTCCTCATCCTCAGAAGGAGCTGGAGGGTCACGGTCGGGAGACAGGACAGGCACTGAGACAGGAGCAGGGTTAGGCACAGGACAGGAAGCAGGGCGGGCAGGACGGCTAGGAACCCCTCTTGGACGGCCCCTACGGATTGCAGGCTGATCAGGATGTAGTCGGTGGAAGTCAGTGATAAGGGTCCGGTCCACTATCCTCCTGGCCGGGATCCAGGTCCTCTCCTCTGGACCATATCCCTCCCAGTCAACGAGGTACTGGAGACCCCTACCCCTTCGCCTAGAGCGGAGCAGCCGCCGGACGGTGAAGACAGGACCGCCATCTACGAGGCGCGGAGGAGGTGGCGCCGGAGCTGCAGGGACCAGGGGACTTTCATGGACCGGCTTGACCTTGGAGACGTGGAAGGTGGGGTGGACCCGCATGGAAGCGGGCAACTGAAGTCGGACCGCCGTTGGACTGATGACTTTCTGCACAGGAAAAGGACCAATGAAGCGAGGGGCCAGCTTTCGTGATTCAACCCGCAGCGGCAGATCCCGGGCAGACAGCCAGACCTTCTGACCAACCCGGTAAGTAGGTGCTGGGGTCCTCCGTCGGTTGGCACCGACGGCGTAGCTGGTTCCAGACTTCAGGAGCACAGTGCGAGCCTGGGCCCAAGTGCGGCGGCAGCGGCGGGCATACGCAAGAGCAGACGGACAGGTGGCATCCGCCTCCTGGCTGGCAAACAGTGGAGGTTGATACCCGTAGACACACTGAAAGGGGGAGAGCCCGGTGGAGGAACTGGTGAGTGAATTATGGGCATATTCCACCCAGAGCAGGTGTTGAGCCCAGGCCCGGGGATTTTGGGAAGCCACACACCTCAGTGCCTTCTCCAGCTCCTGGTTCATGCGTTCAGTCTGGCCGTTTGACTGCGGGTGGAATCCAGACGATAGGCTGGCGGTGGCCCCAAGGAGATGACAGAACTCCTTCCAAAAGGTTGCTGAGAATTGCGGGCCCCGGTCTGACACTATATCCTGGGGTAGGCCATGGATACGAAACACATGTTCCAGGACCACCTGGGAGGTCTCTTTAGCAGAGGGTAGTTTGGGAAGGGGCACGAAGTGGGTCATCTTACTAAAGCGGTCAACAATGGTAAGGATGACTGTGTGTCCGTCAGAGGGCGGAAGGCCCGTAACAAAGTCCAGTGAAACGTGGGACCAGGGCCTCTTGGGTATGAGTAGGGGTTGCAGCAACCCAGCAGGAGGCTGGTTGGGGGTCTTGTTTCGGTTACAAGTGGGACAAGCTCGGATGAATTCTCGGACATCCCGTCTCATCCGCCGCCACCAGAACCGCTGGCGGACCAGATGAAGGGTGCGAGTGATGCCGGGATGACAGGCCAGACGGGATTCGTGCCCCCACTGAATCACAGGTGACCTGAGATTTGCTGGAACAAACAGACGGTTGGGGGCGCTGGTGCTTGGACCTGGCTGGTCCCGAAGAGCCTCCATGACCTGCTTCTCGATCTCCCAGGTGAGGGCCGCTACGACCAAGTGGCTGGGAAGAATGGGGGCTGTCATGGCGGTGGTCTCGTCCTTCTGAAACATCCGGGAAAGAGCATCAGGTTTGATGTTGCGAGATCCCGGGCGGTAGGAGAGCGTGAAATTGAAGCGCGTAAAGAACAGAGACCACCGCTGTTGACGGGAGTTCAGCCTCCTGGCTGTTTGGATATACTCCAGGTTCTTGTGGTCTGTCCACACTACGAATGGTTCCTTTGACCCCTCTAACCAGTGCCGCCATTCTTCAAGGGCGAGCTTGACAGCCAACAGCTCGCGGTTCCCAATGTCGTAGTTGCATTCGGCAGGGGTTAGCCGACGGGAGTAGAAGGCACAGGGGTGCATCTTGCCATCCTCAGCTGCTCTTTGAGAAAGCACTGCACCCACTCCCACGTCCGAAGCATCTACCTCCACCACAAACTGCCTTGCTGCATCTGGCATCTGGAGGATGGGAGCAGAAGTGAAACATGTCTTGAGGATATTGAAGGCCTTATCAGCAGCTGATGTCCATTGGTACGGTTGTTTAGTGCTGGTTAGCGCCGTGAGGGGTGCAGCCACTGTGCTATAGTTTCTGATGAATCTCCTATAAAAGTTGGCAAAGCCCAGGAACTGTTGCAACTTTTTCCGAGACTCAGGAACTGGCCAGGAAGTGACAGCCGACACCTTCGTGAGATCCATCTGAATGCTGCCCTCGGTCACCACATACCCCAGGAATGAAACGGTTTTGGCATGGAACTCGCACTTCTCTGCCTTCACGAAAAGAGAGTTCTCCAGCAGGCGGCGCAGGACCAACTGGACGTGGTGCGTGTGTTCTGACAGAGTCTTTGAGAATATTAAAATATCGTCAAGGTACACAAATACGAACGTATTTAGCATGTCCCTGAGGATATCATTCACTAGGGCTTGAAAAACTGCTGGGGCATTGGTGAGGCCGAAGGGCATGACGAGATATTCATAGTGGCCGGTTGGTGTGTTGAACGCTGTCTTCCATTCGTCTCCCTCCCTCATCCGCACCAGATGGTAGGCATTGCGAAGGTCCAGCTTTGTGAATACAGTGGCTCCCTGCAGCAGTTCGAAGGCAGACGAAAGTAAGGGCAGTGGGTAGCGATTCTTAACCGTGATGTCGTTCAGACCCCGGTAATCTATGCATGGACGAAGAGAACCGTCCTTCTTGCCGACAAAGAAGAATCCCGCTCCTGCGGGGGAAGATGACGGTCTAATTATCCCGGCGGCAAGAGAGTCATTAATGTAGTCCTCCATGGCCTTTCTTTCCGGGGCTGACAGTGAATACAGACGACCCTTGGGAGGTGCTGTGCCAGGCAGGAGATCAATCGCGCAGTCATAGGGTCTGTGTGGGGGTAGAGATGTCGCCTTGGATTTGTTGAACACCTCTTTCAGGCTGTGGTAACAGGCCGGAACATTGGATATGTCGGGGGTAGCGCTAGATCTTTCCCGGTGAACGGGCAGGGTGGCCCCCCTTAAACAGGTCTGGTGACAACTCCTTCCCCACTCACGGACTGTTCCTGTCTCCCAGTCGATGTGGGGGTTGTGCTGACGGAGCCACGGGTATCCAAGAATGAGTGGTTGGCCAGGTGAGTGTAGGAGGTGAAACTGGATGGACTCCTGGTGGTTTCCTGACAGCAGGATTGTCACAGGGGCGGAGATATGAGTGACAGTGCCAAGATGATGCCCATCCAGGGCTCGTGCAGGAATGGGTTGTGTCAGTTGATGATGGTTCACGCCCAGTTGCTGTGCAAGCTCAGGGTCCATGATGTTTGCTTCGGCTCCGGAATCCACAAGGGCGGCCAATGTATGAGTCTTGTCAGAAAGCTGAAGGCGGAGATGAAGCAGGGTCTTTCGGATGGAGGGAGACTGAAGGCTTGTTGAGCTCACCCGGATCTCCCCTACACCTGGTGAGCTGCGGCTTTTGCCGGACAAGTGGCGACACGGTGATTTTCGCCACCACAGTAGAGGCAAAGGTTGGAGCTTAGACGGCGCCGACGCTCCTCGGGAGTCAGAGAGGCACGGCCAATCTCCATGGGCTCAGGCTGATTGAGTTGGCTATGGGACTTGACAGGCAGGGGCTGGACAGAAGCGGTATCGACCCGAGTGCGGATGGCAGGTTGACTGAGACGGCCCTTCTCCCTCCTCCGGGTCTGTATACGGCGGTCAATGCGGACGGCAAGGTCAATGGCGGCATCAAGCGTTGAGGGCGGGTCATGGGAAACAAGCTCGTCTTTGATATAGTCCGCCAGGCTATGGAGGAAGGCTTGCACCAGTGCCTCTGGGTTAAACGAGCTTTGACTGGCCAGGGTACGAAAGTCAATGGAGAAGTCTGCCACTGTCCGATTGCCCTGACGGATGGTGAGCAGAGCTTGTGACGCTTCGGCTGTTGGCGAGCCTAGGTCAAAGACCTTTAACATCTCCTCCTCAAAGGCACTGAAGGAGGCACAGGCTGGGGTTTGCCGGTCGAATTCCGCCGTTCCCCACAACCGAGCTCGACCGGTGAGATGTGTGATGACATACCCCACCTTGGCTCCCTCTGTTGAGAAAGTCCTGGGCTGTAGTGCAAACTGGATTCGGCAGCTGCTCAAGAATGGTCTTACTTGCTTCTGGTTGCCATCAAAACGTTCCGGGTTCCCAATCTTTGGTTCAGGAGCGTGGGGATCTGGTGGCAGCACTGCCGGGCCTGCAGCATTGGGACCTCCAGCGGAGGGATGAAGGAGTGTCGGTGGTACAGGAACAGAAGGACCAGGGGGGGGTGCAGGTGGAGTAGCCGGGTTTGAGAGTAGTTGCAGGGCTTGGGCTAGCTGTTGTTGCTGCAGTTGGAACTGTTGTTGCTGCTGGTTGAATAGCTGGAGAAGGGAAGCGATGTCGCCAGCCATCCGATTTATGTCTCCCTCAGAGCGTTCCAGTCGCTGTAGGGCAGTCATCTCTGGCTCTTCTTCCATCGTGGTCAGGGAGTGCGCTGGGTCCATGATGGTCAGATCGTTCTGTCACGGACAGAAGAGGACCCAAGAGCGCAAGTTCAAATTCAGAGTTCTTTATTGAAGGTTTCAGGCGGGAAGAGGAGTGCCAGGGGTGTCAGGGGTTCCAGGGGTGCTTGGGGCTCTGGGGTCTTTCAGGGTCCTGTGGGTACCTGTGCTCCGGGGGTCACCAAATGTCCGGGGGTGTCCAGTCCAAGTGCTTAGTGTGTGTGTTCCCCAGTGATGGAGCGGCGTATCGGGCTGAGGGTGGTGAAGCGTCTGGGCACGCTCATCTGGTGGTCGGAGACCTGGGGGAACACACACACAACAGCAATATGAATGGCAGGCAGAAGTACAGATCAGGGCTGGGCAAATATCGTGGTGAGAGACAGAAAGCAGAATCGAGTTACCGGAGGGGCTGAAGATCGGAGAGTAGTCGAGGTCCAGAAGGCAGGTCGGGATAGACGGGGCAGTAGAACAAGGAGGCAGTCAAGAAAGGATCGGTATCACAAACAGGAGTCAGAGCGCAGACAGGCAGGTTACTGGTCCGGGTTTGAAGACGATCTGACAGGGCTTGGCTGAAAAACAGGGCTTGATATACTGGGAGAGGTTAGTGGGGAAATGCAGTTCAGCTGGCAGAGTAATTAGAACAGAGTGAGGCAAGGTGAGGATGGTGAGTGGGAAATGCAGTGCAGCTGGCCAGGTAACAAGAGCAGAGCAGGGCGGAGCCAGGTGGAGCTCGTTAGGCAGAGTAGGGAGAGAGTGAGCAGAGTGGCAGAGAATTGAATGCAATTAATGTTGCTACCAGGGAGAGAGAGTGCTCATGACACTGCTCTCTGAATGATGCTCAGTTACAGGGATGCACCTGTTCCTCACCACTGAGAATTCAAAAACAAGAAGGAAAAAATGACACAAGTAACAATACTGAGCAAATATGACCCTTAGGCATCTAACTATTATAGTCTACAGCTATCAGTGGTGCTGAACTAACACCCAGAGTAAGAAACAAAGTCATCATCATCACTACCATCATCACTACCAACACCATCACCATCATCACTACCATCACTACCATCACCACCATCATCGTCATCACCATCACCATCATCGTCACCATCATCATCACTACCATCATCACTACCATCACTACCATCACCACCATCATCGTCATCACCATCACCATCATTGTCACCATCATCATCACTACCATCATCACTACCATCATCACTACCATCACTACCATCATCATCATTGTCACCATCATCATCACTACCATCATCACTACCATCATCACTACCATCACTACCATCATCATCATCATCATCATCATCATCATCATCATCATCATCACTGTTTGTGTATAACAGTCAGTGATCCCTTGTTTACCAATACTTTACTTCCAATATTCCTGTAGGGATTTCAGGAACTGACTGTACTGCATGGGACTGTACTGCATGGGATAGAGCTCTGTGTCATGACTCACAATGATGATGATGATGATGATGATGATGATGGTGCAAGTGGAGGATTAGTCAGGTGACCTACTTATGCAGTATTACTGGATGTCACAGAGGGCCAATCAGAGTAAAGAGAATGCCTGCTCTGTTTGAATGGATTGTTCAGAACTTAACTGCCAGGGCGGAATTCATTCAGTTGCAGAATGTGGATTTCCGGAAAGTGCTTTAATAAGTGTTCTTGTTCTGCACAACAGCGTTTCCCAGATAGATGGATTGAACTATTTTGTTTTGTTCTATATTGACGCAAAGTGTCTTGTACTGTAGAAAGAAGGTTCAGACGCGCTTCAGCCCAGCTGGAAAAAAAAAGGGACTGAGGGACTTGAAAAATCCCGAAAAACATTCCTTAACCCCAGGACTCCTGGAGTGTTTTTTGTTTATTCGTTGTATTGTAGTTGACCACCTACAAGCGGAGTAGAGATTAGTTTCTTGATCAAGCCACAGTGATCATTGAAGGGCGATACCCTGTTGAATTTCTCTCTCTTTGTAGATTACTTTATACCCTTTAGTGTTGCTCATGTCCATTTAGCTCCTTTCTTTAAATCCCAATACTGTACACTCTGAATCAGTCTGATCTCTGTTTAGCCAGCCGGTGGCTGTGTTTATGTGACATCATTGTCCTCGTGTCTTTCGTCATGTTGCAGATATCTCACAGAGTTTGTGGACCTGGGAAACGTGTCTGCATTGAGAACATTCAGGGTCCTCAGAGCGCTGAAAACCATCTCTGTCATTCCAGGTGAGAGAAACTCTTCTGTTCTGCCTGGGGACGTGGTACTGTAAGGGTAGCTGATAGGTCTGAAGCCTTGCAAATCAAATCAAATGTTATTGGTCACATACACGTGTTTGGCAGACGTTATTGCGGGTGTAGCGAAATGCTTGTGCTTCTAGCTCCGACAGTGCAGTAATATCTAACAGGACATTGTATAGCTGATAAATATCACCTGTAGGTCAAAGACCATCACAGGACAATGTCTAACTCATCTCTGTCTACTGGAAATCTAAGACAATAGTGGGGACCATTTCTAACCTATCTCTTTCTCCCTCGGGCCGGAAGACCATGGTAGGGACAATGTTTAACTGTCAAGTCTATTGGGGACATTGTATAACCTATTGTCTGTCTCCCCCCAGGTCTAAAGACCATCGTTGGTGCTCTGATCCAGTCAGTGAAAAAGCTGGCGGACGTGATGATCCTGACGGTGTTCTGCCTGAGCGTGTTCGCCCTCATCGGCCTTCAGCTCTTCATGGGCATCCTGCGGCAGAAGTGCGTCCGCAGCGCGGCACACTGCGTCAACTCCTCGTACAACGTCAACGACACCTTCACCTGTAACAACCGGACCTGGAACTCCATGAACGACTTCGTCACCAATGAAGGTTTTTTGACATGTCCTTTTGATCTGTTTTGCCCTGTAGGCACTGCCAGTTTAGAAGCCTTTGTTAAGGTGCAAGGGATACAAAACACTAAATATTAATTGGTATGCTGTAATATAAAATTTAATTCAGTCCTGTATGGCTCAGTTGGTAGAGGAATGGCGCTTGGAACACAAGGATTGTGGGTTCAATTCCCGGGGCCATGCGTCTTCTGCATTTAACCCAAACCCTCTGAATCAGAGACTGTAAGTTGCTTTGGATAAAAACGTCTGCTAAATGGCATATATAAGGTAGGCGGGCAGGTGCACAGCGATGATGAGTCAAAGCTTTTCTAGTTGTCGTTCTGTAGTGTGTATTACTGTTGTGTTAATGGTCTCTGGAATGACCATCTCAGGAACTCTCAATTAGTTGGACCATTTTAAAGCAGTTCTCAATACTTTCCTCTACTGGACAGGACATATGTCTTGTGTAATGTGTATTGTTTTATAACCTTAGTTTTATGTATTCTATCTCTGCTTTTCAGATAATTTCTACAAAGTTGAAGGAGCAAAGGATGCCTTAATTTGTGGATATGGACAAGATGCAGGGTAAGTCAGCTGCTGTACTGGCTATTGCATAATGTTGGCTTCTACATAACATCTGCTTGTGTATAGTGAACTGCTAGTGAGGGTAAAGCATGATGGCGTCATACATTTCTATGTACTACACTAGTCCAGATACGATAAAACTAGAGCTCTTCTCTATCCATGTTTATATGGATAGTTTCAGGGTATAGCCCCTAGCCCCTAGCGTGTCAGGATATAGCCCCTAGCGTGTCAGGGTATAGCCCCTAGCCCCTAGCGTGTCAGGGTATAGCCCCTAGCGTGTCAGGGTATAGCCCCTAGCCCCTAGCGTGTCAGGGTATAGCCCCTAGCGTGTCAGGGTATAGCCCCTAGCCCCTAGCGTGTCAGGGTATAGCCCCTAGCGTGTCAGGGTATAGCCCCTAGCCCCTAGCGTGTCAGGGTATAGCCCCTAGCCCCTAGCGTGTCAGGGTATAGCCCCTAGCCCCTAGCGTGTCAGGGTATAGCCCCTAGCCCCTAGTGTGTCAGGGTATAGCCCCTAGCGTGTCAGGGTATAGCCCCTAGCGTGTCAGGGTATAGCCCCTAGCCCCTAGCGTGTCAGGGTATAGCCCCTAGCCCCTAGCGTGTCAGGGTATAGCCCCTAGCGTGTCAGGGTATAGCCCCTAGCGTGTCAGGGTATAGCCCCTAGCCCCTAGCGTGTCAGGGTATAGCCCCTAGCGTGTCAGGGTATAGCCCCTAGCCCCTAGCGTGTCAGGGTATAGCCCCTAGCGTGTCAGGGTATAGCCCCTAGCCCCTAGCGTGTCAGGGTATAGCCCCTAGCCCCTAGCGTGTCAGGGTATAGCCCCTAGCCCCTAGCGTGTCAGGGTATAGCCCCTAGCCCCTAGCGTGTCAGGGTATAGCCCCTAGCGTGTCAGGGTATAGCCCCTAGCGTGTCAGGGTATAGCCCCTAGCCCCTAGCGTGTCAGGGTATAGCCCCTAGCGTGTCAGAGTATAGCCCCTAGCGTGTCAGGGTATAGCCCCTAGCCCCTAGCGTGTCAGGGTATAGCCCCTAGCGTGTCAGGGTATAGCCCCTAGCCCCTAGCGTGTCAGGGTATAGCCCCTAGCCCCTAGCGTGTTAGGGTATAGCCCCTAGCCCCTAGCGTGTCAGGATATAGCCCCTAGCCCCTAGCGTGTCAGTGTATAGCCCCTAGCCCCTAGCGTGTCAGGGTATAGCCCCTAGCGTGTCAGTGTATAGCCCCTAGCCCCTAGCGTGTCAGGGTATAGCCCCTAGCGTGTCAGGGTATAGCCCCTAGCCCCTAGCGTGTCAGGGTATAGCCCCTAGCGTGTCAGGGTATAGCCCCTAGCGTGTCAGGGTATAGCCCCTAGCCCCTAGCGTGTCAGGGTATAGCCCCTAGCGTGTCAGGGTATAGCCCCTAGCGTGTCAGGGTATAGCCCCTAGCCCCTAGCGTGTCAGGGTATAGCCCCTAGCCCCTAGTGTGTCAGGGTATAGCCCCTAGTGTGTCAGGGTATAGCCCCTAGTCCCTAGCGTGTCAGGGTATAGCCCCTAGCGTGTCAGGGTATAGCCCCTAGCCCCTAGCGTGTCAGGGTATAGCCCCTAGCGTGTCAGGGTATAGCCCCTAGCCCCTAGCGTGTCAGGGTATAGCCCCTAGCCCCTAGCGTGTCAGGGTATAGCCCCTAGTGTGTCAGGGTATAGCCCCTAGCCCCTAGCGTGTCAGGGTATAGCCCCTAGCCCCTAGCGTGTCAGGGTATAGCCCCTAGCGTGTCAGGGTATAGCCCCTAGCAACCCTGTCGTGTTGGTGATTAATCACTAGCTCTTCCATGGGAACATCCTCTCTGTGTGGACTGTGGATCAGCCTGCCCTGCCTGCCCTCCCAGCTGGGGAGGGGGGAGGGGCTTGGGGTTGGGGGGGGTGTAACCTTTTACGATTTCATCATTTCAAAAGATCTATGACACCATTAGGTTAACCAGACAGACGGCTCCTGTTAATTCTCTATACCAAGTCATGCAGTACTGTGTGGTTCTGTAGCCTTCTACACTCTGCATTACTGTCTCTGCGGTTTGTTACAGACCGCTAATTCTCTGAACTGAAAGTCCGGTAGTGTATAAAGTATGGTAACTGTACTGCAGAAACCCAATACACAGTACTGTATAGGCCTACCCCCTTCTGTGGACCAAGCCTTGCAGTGGACAGTAGCTGCAGGTTACAGTAGAAACATACAGTACATAATGTACTGGCTTGTTACAGGACTAGCTCATTCTGTATGTGTGTTAGTCTGTCAAACCAACGAGAATGGTCAAAGAAATGACACTAGTGAAATGATTAGGTCTTGCATTGATGGACATAGATTGAAATGTTTATAGCATCTCTATCTAATCATTGTTATAGAAAATAAGATGACCTTTTCGTAATGCATGGCAACTGTTAATATAGACATCCGCCGGATGTCATTCTGTCTTATGTTAGATGGCTCCTGTTCTGTCAGGTTAGATGGTTCCTGTTCTGTCTAATGTTAGATGGTTCCTGTTCTGTCAGGTTAGATGGTGCCTGTTCTGTCAGGTTAGATGGCTCCTGTTCTGTCAGGTTAGATGGTGCCTGTTCTGTCTAATGTTAGATGGCTCCTGTTCTGTCAGGTTAGATGGTTCCTGTTCTGTCTAATGTTAGATGGCTCCTGTTCTGTCAGGTTAGATGGTTCCTGTTCTGTCAGGTTAGATGGTTCCTGTTCTGTCAGGTTAGATGGCTCCTGTTCTGTCAGGTTAGATGGCTCCTGTTCTGTCTAATGTTAGATGGTTCCTGTTCTGTCAGGTTAGATGGCTCCTGTTCTGTCAGGTTAGATGGTTACTGTTCTGTCAGGTTAGATGGTTCCTGTTCTGTCAGGTTAGATGGCTCTTGTTCTGTCAGGTTAGATGGTTCCTGTTCTGTCAGGTTAGATGGTTCCTGTTCTGTCAGGTTAGATGGCTCCTATTCTGTCAGGTTAGATGGTTACTGTTCTGTCAGGTTAGATGGTTCCTGTTCTGTCAGGTTAGATGGTTCCTGTTCTGTCAGGTTAGATGGTTCCTGTTCTGTCTAATGTTAGATGGTTCCTGTTCTGTCAGGTTAGATGGTGCCTGTTCTGTCAGGTTAGATGGCTCCTGTTCTGTCAGGTTAGATGGTGCCTGTTCTGTCAGGTTTGATGGTTCCTGTTCTGTCTAATGTTAGATGGCTGCTGTTCTGTCAGGTTAGATGGCTCCTGTTCTGTCAGGTTTGATGGTTCCTGTTCTGTCTAATGTTAGATGGCTCCTGTTCTGTCAGGTTAGATGGTTCCTGTTCTGTCTAATGTTAGATGGCTCCTGTTCTGTCAGGTTAGATGGTTTCTGTTCTGTCAGGTTAGATGGTTCCTGTTCTGTCAGGTTAGATGGCTCCTGTTCTGTCTAATGTTAGATGGTTCCTGTTCTGTCAGGTTAGATGGCTCCTGTTCTGTCAGGTTAGATGGTTCCTGTTCTGTCAGGTTAGATGGTTCCTGTTCTGTCAGGTTAGATGGCTCCTGTTCTGTCTAATGTTAGATGGTTCCTGTTCTGTCAGGTTAGATGGCTCCTGTTCTGTCAGGTTAGATGGTTACTGTTCTGTCAGGTTAGATGGTTCCTGTTCTGTCAGGTTAGATGGTTCCTGTTCTGTCAGGTTAGATGGCTCCTATTCTGTCAGGTTAGATGGTTACTGTTCTGTCAGGTTAGATGGTTCCTGTTCTGTTAGGTTAGATGGTTCCTGTTCTGTCAGGTTAGATGGTTCCTGTTCTGTCAGGTTAGATGGCACCTGTTCTGTCAGGTTAGATGGCTCCTGTTCTGTCAGGTTAGATGGTTCCGATTCTGTCAGGTTAGATGGTACCTGTTCTGTCAGGTTAGATGGTTCCTGTTCTGTCAGGTTAGATGGCTCCTGTTCTGTCAGGTTAGATGGCACCTGTTCTGTCAGGTTAGATGGCTCCTGTTCTGTCAGGTTAGATGGTTCCGATTCTGTCAGGTTAGATGGCTCCTGTTCTGTCAGGTTAGATGGTTCCGATTCTGTCAGGTTAGATGGTACCTGTTCTGTCAGGTTAGATGGTTCCTGTTCTGTCAGGTTAGATGGTACCTGTTCTGTCAGGTTAGATGGTACCTGTTCTGTCAGGTTAGATGGTACCTGTTCTGTCAGGTTAGATGGTTCCTGTTCTGTCAGGTTAGATGGTTCCTGTTCTGTCAGGTTAGATGGTTCCTGTTCTGTCAGGTTAGATGGCTCCTGTTCTGTCAGGTTAGATGGTACCTGTTCTGTCAGGTTAGATGGTTCCTGTTCTGTCAGGTTAGATGGTTCCTGTTCTGTCAGGTTAGATGGTTCCTGTTCTGTCAGGTTAGATGGCTCCTGTTCTGTCAGGTTAGATGGTTCCTGTTCTGTCAGGTTAGATGGTTCCTGTTCTGTCAGGTTAGATGGTACCTGTTCTGTCAGGTTAGATGGTTCCTGTTCTGTCAGGTTAGATGGTACCTGTTCTGTCAGGTTAGATGGTTCCTGTTCTGTCAGGTTAGATGGTTCCTGTTCTGTCAGTTTAGATGGTTCCTGTTCTGTCAGGTTAGATGGTTCCTGTTCTGTCAGGTTAGATGGTTCCTGTTCTGTCAGGTTAGATGGTTCCTGTTCTGTCAGGTTAGATGGTTCCTGTTCTGTCAGGTTAGATGGTACCTGTTCTGTCAGGTTAGATGGTTCCTGTTCTGTCAGTTTAGATGGTTCCTGTTCTGTCAGGTTAGATGGTTCCTGTTCTGTCAGGTTAGATGGTTCCTGTTCTGTCAGGTTAGATGGTTCCTGTTCTGTCAGGTTAGATGGTTCCTGTTCTGTCAGGTTAGATGGTTCCTGTTCTGTCAGGTTAGATGGTTCCTGTTCTGTCAGGTTAGATGGTTCCTGTTCTGTCAGGTTAGATGGTTCCTGTTCTGTCAGGTTAGATGGCTCCTGTTCTGTCAGGTTAGATGGTTCCTGTTCTGTCAGGTTAGATGGTTCCTGTTCTGTCAG